AAAAAAAAAAAAAAAAAAAAGTGCCAAGGAAGAGGCACTGAAAAAGGTCCTTGTTTGAGTGTGACTTTCTGGTCACCCATTAAAATGAGGTAGGCATGGGCCAAAAATCCTGGAAGCATGGCTCGCACCCTGTAGATTCAGCTCTAGGGGGATTTTAGCCAATACCTGGCTGAGAGGCTGTCTCAAGGGGTTGATAACTCTATTCTTAGAGCTATGGTATCACATGATACAGTATTTGCAATTCATCTTCAATTCCTCCTTCTTATCCACCCACTTCAACACCCTCACCTCCTTCCCTTATCTCTTGCAGGAAAACGCCTAGCTCCAATCTTTTACTCTTAGCCTCCTCCCTGAGAACACACAGCGTCCTTGATGTCTTCGCTGGTGTCACACGTTACTATGGAAAGCCAGGAGGGGAAAATTGCTTCTAGTTGCCAGCTTTATCCTCTCCCCTTTTTTCATCCATTTTTTTCCTGTGTATCACCCAGCCCCGATTCTCACCCCGCTTTGCTCCTCCCCTAAAGAGTGGGCATAACCCGGAGAGACAGTTGATCAAGCCTTTTTCTGGGACGGGTAAGGAACCGAAATTTATTCCAATTTTGCCTCATGCTGCTGGAGACCGAGACCGCCACCAGGGGCGAGGCCAGTTCTCTCTGCCCAGGGCCCGCCCCACTCCCTTTCTTCTCCCTCCTCCTTTTTAGCCCCACCTTCCTCCGCCTCTTCCTAGTTTGCTTTCTCCTTCAGCCGCTTCAGGTCTCTTTTAAGGAACTCCACCCTAGGTGGAGTCCTCACCGTAGTCACACCTCTCCCCTGGCCCAGCCAAGGCGGAGAAAGACGAAATCACTCCACCCTCTCAGGTTGCCTAGAGAGCACTTCACGTTCTGACCTGTGTGGGTTTCGAGGTCCCCAGTGGGACAGCTAGAAACCTCCAAGAAACCCCGCCCTAGAGAACCTGCAAAGAGTTGCTGCTGTTTTTCCTTGAAGCTCTTGCCCCGGGCCGGTGTTCTCCTAAGTGTATCGACCAATCATCGGCATTTTCTCCTCCCTTTTTTCCTTTTAGGAAAGAGTTGGGGTGTGGGGCTGTAACCGCAGCGTTGAAGGGATCCTCTCGTTATATCTCATTCTGGGTTCCTCAGCAGTGTTTGCAGGTTCTGGGCGGTTTTCTTAGCCTCTACCTCCCTCCTTTTTTTCAAGGGTGTGCGGAGTTCAGAGGCTGGGTGGAGAGTGGGCTTGGCCGGAACTGAACTGGTAAAGGTAAAAGGGGAACGGAGGATCTTCAGAGTTGGCCTCTTCAACCCAGGGAACCCACTTTATTTTTAGCTGACTTTAGGGGGAGCATTCTTTTTAGGCAGTACCCTCTGCCTGCCCTAATTTTTGGATTGGATGCTAGAGATCTTTGTTTTCCTTGTTCTGAGGGTGGCCCAGCTGAGTCTGAAGAAACTCCCTCTCTTTTTTCCTTCTTCCCTATTTCCCAGCTGGAAGAAAAAGGGGAAGTGGGGGGCCGCGAAAGAGAAAGCAGGAGAACGTAACCCGGCACGCTGTCAGACAGGGGCGGGTGTGAGTGGAACAGCTGTTTTGCGATCAGCTCAGGAGTATGAGCCTACGGGAGGACCGCGTGAGCTTCAGACACTTCAGGAGTCCTCAGCTAAAGACAAGGGCGGTAAGTGACACCGAGATTAGAACCCACCCACTCTCATCTCGGTTTAGGTTACCCTCCACCCCCACCACACCCACCTACTTATCTTTGGGTTTTAGCCAGGGGAGGGGGGAGCGGAATGGTAAAAACACCTAATCAAATGAAACTCAAGGGAAAATGACTTCGTTAAAGATTGAGCAAAAACGGACAAAAAGGGGAGGGGGGACATTTGAGGAGGCTTCCTGAAAAAGTAAAAGAGGTCAAAAATAGGTGGATTTGTCTAGTTTAGTCTGCCCTGGTTTAGTGCTCTCAGTCCTCCTTAAGCAGTGAGGGCTGTCTCTGATTTAACCCCACACAGTCAAAAGTCTAGGCTACAAGAATATGAAGGCCAGCCACCCCAGATAACTAGGGAGTAGAGATGCTTCTAGAAAGAGGGAGGAGGGACAGGTGGGAGACTAGGTTATTGGAAATCAGGATCGCGAGATCATGGAAGGAGCTTCGGGGAGGAGCTACTTGGGGTTTACCAGCTCATTAAGGAGGAGCTTAGCTTGGTTAGAAGAGGAAGCCCAAGCCTAGGCCCTGCTCAGGCCCTTTAAGACCTGGCCAAGGCAGTCAATTCTATGTGTAGCTGGAAGATTGGGCAGAAATACTGTGATTGCTGCAGATAGTGGACTTGCTCAATCTCTTGGTGGAGCTGTCTTTTGTGGACCGTAAGAATCAGGGGGAAAATAAATCACATCCAAACAGATGGCAAAAAGAATGTCTTATTTCCTTTGGTATTGTATTCACTGTGACGAAAAACAATTATTAAGCACCGTTCTTTTATCCACTGTAATAATGACTGGGCTAAGAAAATTATCTCCAAGTTTGGATTTTAAACTGGTGGAGATTGTGATGCTTTGGGGTAACACAAAGATCTGCTTTGAAACCTAATTAGTACCAATAATTACCCTGAACATTGCCTTTCTCTATAGAATGCAGATTAATAATTCTACCTTAAAAGATATTTGGGTAGCTAAAATACCAATATTATTTGACAGAGGCTGCTACTTGTCGTAATCTTAGTTTCACTTCCTTTTCCTCAGTTTGGAACGCTTTCTCTGGAACACAGCTGATAGAATTAGTACTTTGATGTCCTTAAAATGCTTTCCAGATGAAGTGATAGGAGACCTGGAAGGATTGAATTAGCTTTTCTAAGGCTAAAAGTCTAGAGCATAGGTTTTATTTGCTTCTAATTTAATATTGTTCCCAATGGACTTAATCACCTCTAATAAAAAAGCCACTAACCTATCTTCTAATTATTTAGACAATTTAACCAGTAGGATATTACCAACAGGTTCTTTGCAAAACAGAAACCAGTGTGTGTGAAACTTGTACATGATCTTATTCCATTCTTCAGAGTATTAAGAAAAACTTTATGAGAGAGAAATGCTAATCTTTGATAACTGTGGAGGACCTGGAGTATGGGATGGGAACAGTGTCTCCAGATTAGTTTAGAGGGCAGACAGGCAGAAAACATAAGAGCAGAAATATAACTTCAAAGTGGAAATGATAAATGTGACTATCTAGTCCATTCTCAAGATTAAGTAAATGGCTCTACTTTCAGAGCCCTAAAGGAGCCACAGACACTTCTTAGGCTTTCAGTATACATTGGCAAAGAAAAGTGGGGTGGAAATGAGCTAGATCACCGTCATCACCTTCACTATTCTAGTATATGCATTTCCAAATTAGGGTTCTTAGTGCTTTAACTGTCTGGATTCCAGAAACTAAGGTATCATGCCTAGTCTAGTTATCATTTATCTTTTAAGATTATCTGTGTCTGGTGGTGCAAGTCATCAACCACTCATCTTTTCTCATTCTGGCAGGGGCATTATTATTATTTGATACATTTACATATTCATCTTTGTCCTGAGTCATTTGTACTTTATGATCTTGCTTAATTGGTTAAATAAAGAGAAGATGGCCTTTGGATATATAATTCATTTAGCAAATATACGTGTTTCAAGCATAAGAAATATTTTAAATGTCATTTTCTATTTCTTCTAACTTAAGTATTTTCTTTATCCTCCTATCCAAACTCCAATCTTCTTTTGAAACCTACTTTTATCTCTGGCCCCTATAGCAAGTCTTTCTTATCACTTCAACTCTTCTTTAGAAATCATTATCTGTTCTGCTTAGTTGATATTTAGCCATGAAGAAACTGCCTCATAATATGCTTATTTTCATGATTTTTCTGAACGGAATTTATACTATTCCTTTCATCATTAGTCTGAACTTAAGTGTCACTTTTATAAAACCTTGCCTGATCCTTGCATTTAGAAATACTCTTGAGTATATTAATTTTCCTGTATTTTTGGGAAGTTGTATTACTCTGTGTCCTGCATACACTATAGTTAAGTCTTTACCTTTTTTCAGACTGAGAGGTTCTTCATGACATCTAATGCCATTGTATCTTCATAATGCATATCGGATTGCTTTTCTATGTAAACACTTGGTACAATAACTTAGGGTGACTAATTCTCTGACTGCTTAGAAAGGGAAATGGTAAAGACTAAAGAAAGAAAGATAATAGAGACTTGTGTAACTTTGAAGTACCTGGGAAGTCAGTACCTCAAAGTGGGAAAAGACAAAGACACTCTGAACTAGCCATTATTTATTGGGTACACAATAATTGTAGGGATTATCAGGTGACTTGGGGGCAGTGGTGATTCTATGTTGATGAGGACCTTAGGTCACTGAGGATCTTTTGTTGATGAGGGCAGTAAGCAGAGCATTCTTACAATAGTAGGTAGGATAAGATAGCAGGCTAATAAAGAATTTGTCCTTCCCTCAGGTGAAACCTTTCTCTTTTTTTTTTGTTATTACTCTGTTCTCAAAAAACCGGGATGTCTTCAGCTGATGTACTCTTGCCCGTAAGCATCACAGGATCATTGAGGCCTCAACTTGTGACCTGAGGCAAAGCAGTTATGTTTCCTCATGCCATAGCCAGCTTGCGGGCAAGGTGACAGTAGACCTTAGACAGCTATAGTCATACTTTAATCATGAAATGATGTTTCCCCAGGAATTTAAGTAGAATGGCTCCTGATAGTACACATTTTGTAGAATATCTTCTAGGATCTAGTTCTATAATACCATGTATTTGCAAATAAAGAAAAACTTTATTGGGAAGATCTAAATGGTCATCTCATAAAATTCACATCTAATTCCTAAGTAGATTGTGAGTACATGAATGACTTCATAGTGTTAAGCTCACTTGTTGACTGAAGAACATGTGTGACTATGTTTGGTTTTATTTCTAATTTTTATATGATAATGTTTTTAATCAGTTGTATACCTAAAAATCAAATTTCTAATCATTTATTATCCTCAACTTAGCTTTGTCAACTAGCTTCTATTTACTCATTTCCAGAATAATATGATGATTTTGTTATGTAAAGCATTAGACCCAGTGCTTGACACATTAACTTAGATCAAGGGTGCCAACAACTAACCTACAGAGCAAATTAAGCTTATGTGTGTATTTTGATTGTTCTAAATTTTTTTTGTTTTATTTTTTGAGACAGGGTCTCATTGTGTAGTTCAGGTTCACCTTGAACTCATTATGTAGCCCAGGCTGGCCTCAAACTTGCTGCTATCCTTCTGCCTCAGTGTCCTAACTCCACCCAATGCTGGCATTATAAGTGTGCACCACCATGCCTGGCTAAAACTCATATTAAAATGTATTTTAAATTAGTAATATATTCCACAAGGCTCAAAATTTATCATATATGAAAGGGTATACAGTGAAAACTCTCCCACCTATTTCTGTTCCCTAGTCACCCGAGTGAAAACTAGAGTTATTTGCTTATTAAGAATCTTTCCAGGGATATGCAATGTATATAAATTAGTAAGTAGTATATTTTTCTGCCTCTTTCTTTTCATAATCAAACGCTAATATGTTCTGCACATCATTCTACAAATTGCTTTGTTTACTTAAAACTATACTTTGAAGATATTTCCATACATAAGGGCTGATCAAAAAACTGGTATGTATTTAAATGTTAAATTATTTTTTGTAGTAAAAGATACATTACCATTAACTCCCCTCTGAAAATAATTTCCTTTGCTTTGAGTGCATTTATCCCCTTGTTTTTGCCACTTTCTGAAGTTTATGGTGTTTGAATTGATTCAAAATATTTATGGAAATTTCTGTCAAATGAAAACATTAAAGTATGTCCTAACTCACCTAATTCACCAGATCCTGCACCATGAAACTTCTGGTTGTTCCCCAAGGTCAAAATGACCATGAAAGGTAGATATTTTGAAGTGATTCAGGACAGGGGGGCAGCCACAACAGCTCAACTAAAGATATTTACAAAAGAGGACTTCCAGAACTGCTTCAAAAAGTGGCAAGAATGATAGAATTGGTGTGTTCAAAGCTAGGAGGAATATTTTGATGGCGATCAATGGCACTATGACTTTTATTATAATATTTAAAAATTTTTAAAAATTATTTACCCAATTTTTTCATCACAAACTACATGTAAAAAGAAATGCCTCATTCTTTAGTGTGACAACATAGCTTTTCACTATATGGATAATCCATTAATTTTTAAGTCAGTCTTCTACTGACTGTCATTTTAGATATTTCCTAACTCTGGTGGTGTTGCTCGTAATAGCAGTACAAACTTTGTAAATAATTTATTCGAAGAATAGGGCTGTTATAAGGAAATATTACTGAATTCCTTTTTATTTTGAGACAGGGTCTTACTATGTATTTCATATTGGCCTTGAACTCTCTATGTAGCCCAAGCTGGCCTCAGACTCCCAATTCTCACCAATGGGATTACAGGCATGCATCATCACATCTGGCCTGAAACTAGGGTTCCTTAATAGAAAATTATTTGTCTGCAGATCTGAAGGCTACAAGTCTGTGATCAGGGGGCCTGCATGGTTAGATTATTATAAGGCTTTGTCATGGTTTGTTTCTAGATGGCTCCCCTAAGCTCCATTCACTCATAGGTGGGGCTATTCAGAGGTGGCAG